TAATACCCCCCCTTAGTCATCAGTAGAATAAGTAGTTCAAAAACAGCAAAATTAACTAAAATGAATAGACCGGCCACATCAAATATTGGCTAGAATGTGGGAAAACAAGAGCTTTCATACATTGCTTGGCAAAAATGTTAGACGTTTTAACCACTTTGGGAAAAGATTTGGCAGATTTTTGTAAAGTTAAACATACACCTACCCTTTTACCCAGTAATTCCTGCTTGGTGTTTATCCAAGAGAAATGAAAACATATGTCCAGAGAAAGACTTGTTCAAGAGTACTCATAGGAACTTTATTCATAATAGCCCAAAGCTGGAAACAGCCCCAATACCCACCGACAGAGGAACTGATAAATAAATGGTGCTGTTACCAAAACGTAAAAAGGGAACTACTGGTATACCCTGCAACATGAAGGAGTCTTGTAGTTACTATACTGAGGAAGAGAAGACTCAAAAGAATGTCAATTGTATGATTCCTTTCATATAAAGACAGATTTATTCTAGTGAAAAAAATTAGGTTGTTGAGGGTGGGGTCAAGGGAAAATTGATCTGGAAAAGGATATAAGGGAACTTTCTTGGGAACTAGGAATATTATATTTTGATAGGCGTATGTTTTACAGAAGCATATCAATTTGTCAGAGCTCATCAAATTATACATTTACAATTTATGCATATCAAAGTATGTCAGTTTTATCACAAAGAAGTTAAATATTGACCTATTATTTATAGGTTTGCTTTTTCTTGATGGTATTAGGTTGTCAATTGTAAAACTGCCTTCTCTGTCTATTAGGATTGAGCAAATGAGTCAATATTGAGAGCCAGGTTTCTCACTTCTGAGGAAAACTTAAAATATGGGATGGGAAAATACTGCATTTTATTGTATTGGATTGGAGATGTCCATAGTAATTTCTGCTTTTAAATATATTAGGTAAATGAAGCAAAATTGATATATGTATATGGATGGTATGTATGTATACTACAAATGTGTGTGTATACAGTATGTGCACGCATTCATCAAATTGCTTATTAATGTTAAAAGGGAGATAGAGGAGACTGGAGAAACCCGTCTGACACCACTGTAACCGAGGCATCACACCTAGCACAACCAGTGTCTGGACCAGCTGAGAAAGACACACATCACTTCAGTGCCAATCCTGCTAACAATGGATGAGGAGTCCATTGGGTCCATGGGTGTCTACCAGACAAATCCAGATTGATAGACATTTTACAACTAGGCTGGTATTTATTTTTTTATGTCAGGGTCAAGAAACACTAACAAAGGCTGTTCCAGATTAAAGACTAAGAAGACATGTCAAGTAATGCAAGCATAATGCATGCTTCCTAAAGTAGACCCAGGGGAGGAGTAACTTCCAAGAACATTACTTGGACAATTGACAGAATTTATTGGGATGGTGGATCAGATAGCATTCTTCCCTGAGTGTTACATTTCCTGATCTTAATAACCATTGTGTATGAGGTTGTCCTGGATCTTAGAAAATGGGTAGTGAAAGCATTAGGGTCACTGTGACTTCCCACTTACTTTTAAAGGGCACAGAAAAAAAGGTTGTGTATAACTAAGCAGATTGCTTATTATTCTATCATAAGTACTATGTTTATATGTACAAGTGGGGCAAAAGTAGGTTTATAGTTCGTATGGAAAATAATACAATAATTAATAAGAATAAACTTTGTGTATTTACAACTGTAAACCTACTTTTGCCTCACCCTGTATATGTAAATTGATAGATTGATAAAGAAAAGTGTAAACATTTGGGGAATTTGAGTGAAAAGTATATGGCAGTATTTTTTACTGTTTTTAAACTTTTCTCTGAATGTTATTTCGCAAAATTCTGGGGACTTTTTCTTGGTTTTTTGGTTTTTTGTTTCAAAAGATAACATTGGTTCCTTTTCTTACCCAGTAGATTTTTGTATTAAACAGTTAATGTTTCTGCCATCTTTGGTTCATTGAAATGTATATTCCAAATATTATTATAAAAATAGAGTAGTTAAATTTATGTATTTGTGTATTATGTTTAGAGTATTTTGATACAGTGTTACCCTAATTTTTAAAACTTGTTTTATAAAATTTTAGTTGCTTTGAAAAATATAAAAGTCTAAAAATGCGGAGTAAATCTCCATTAGGAAATACATGTAATTTGTGATTATACATACTTGAATATTTGAGTCATTTGATAATAAACTTGCTGAATATGTGTTTTTCAAACATTTTTCATTATATTATATCCAGTGTTCCTGGGAGTTATATAGAGACCTTGTTATTTGCTTAATATACTTGGTAGAATTGGGTTACTAAGAGTAAAAATGTGTTGTTACCACACCAAGTTAGAGATTATTCATTTCTTTTGTATCACTCACTACTTTGAAATGTTATGAAAGCTATGGATTCTCTCCCACATACATGTATATTGCATTTTTTGCATATAATTCAGGGAGTTTCACAGCCACCCTCAACCCTGTCCACTGACCCTCCCCTGAAAGCCTAGGTCAAACTGTGCTCAAGACTCTAGTCACATTTCTAGGTGGAAAAAAAAAAAGAAAAAAACAACGTTTTACTCCAGTTAAGTGTTTTTCATTGTATGGTTTCAGGACAGCCACCTTCACAGAGCACTAATTTTTTTTTTTTTTTAAGAAAATCATAAAATCCGTTCATTCACCAAATACTTGTTTACTGTAAATCAGGCGTGGTTCCAGGCACTGGTAATACCACAGTGCATAAAACCCCTGCCTTCGTGGGAATCATATTGCTGTGGTAGAGATAGGCCATGAACAAATTAATAAGTAAAATGTATAGCATGTCAAATAATAAGTGTCACGGAGAAACTCAAGGTGGAGATAGAAGAGTCAGTTTAAATAAGGTATTTGGGAAGGCCTCACTGAAGAAGCGACATTTTAGCAAATCCTTGAAGAAGATAGGGGAATGAATTACACAGAAGCCAGGAAGAGGCAAGAGAAAACACAGAGGTTTGAGACGGTAAAGGTTACCTATTCAAAAGAGAGCTAATGCTGTAGGAGTCTGGGAGGTAGTAAGTAGCCCACTGGGAAGTAAAGAACAAAAGTGGCAGCTGGTAGGCTGTGTGAACAGGAGAGAGCGAGTGGCGGTGAAGGATGGCATCAGCTGAAGGAGACCACCGCCTCTTGCGTTCAGGTGGTGATTACCCGATAGACGTGGGCCCCGGGTTTCCAGATCTTCCGTTTTTTACAAGAAGTTAGGAACTTGGATTTTCTTTGACTTGTCTAGCATTTAATTCTTTGGAAACAGTTCCTATCTAAAATTCTATGTGAGGTAGCACTGCTTGAGTCCAGCAGCTTCAAGTCTTTGTTAGGACAGGGTCTGCAGGAATATTTGGAGTCAGAGGGTGGATAAATAAAGGACACGGGAGGGAAACCAGGAGACGAGAGTGTCGAGAACACCGGGAACGCAGTGTTCCACAGATGTCAGAATGGTTCGGTGTCTGGTGTGCTACTGACAAGCTTGGTAATAGGATGCCTGAGAGATGTCTGTTGGGTTTACCGGTGTGAGTGGGTTGCTGGTGAAATTCGCGTCTGTTGGGTTTACCGGTGTGAGTGGGTTGCTGGTGAAATTCGCGAGAGGAGTTTCTCAAGTGAACTGATGCCATAAATGAGGAGGAGGCTGGCACTTGTGGGGTCCCCGCATTGGAAGCCTTGGGCATGCTGAAATGCTCTGATTTTTTTTTTAATAAAAATAACCAAACAAAAAAGAGTAAAGAGAAACTTCTCCCTAGAATGAACTGAATGAAGACTTTAAGTATAGATACTGCTTTTGAAAAGCTTCTTTGTGAGGTAGAACAAATTATAATCATACCTGGAAATTGGAAATCAATGGATAGAACCTTTTTTAAAACTGGATATATAAGGGTTGTTCAATGAGAAAAGGGAAGTTAAGTATGACACAAATTCAGTAATTTGGGGGCTTCCTTTTTAGGTTTCTGTATAGTACTTATCTGTAGCATCTAGAGAATCTCACATAAAGTAACTAAGTGTCTGAACTGTATGCTGTATTTGTAGTCATCCGAGACTTAGTGGATCTTTGCAAAAGGCAAACTACAGTTGTTTTTGACGTGATAAGGCTGTTCTCTCAAACTCTAGTGTGCATACGGATCCTCTGGGGGTCCTTTTACAGCACAGAATCTGATGCAGGCTTGCGGATTCTGCATTTCTGACAAGGGCCCAGTTGATTCCAGTACTGCCGGTCCAAGAGTATCACAAAGGTCCAGTAACTATATGAACTAAAAATCACTATCCCATCCAAAATTCTGATGGTTTTACTCTTATATGTTTTTAAACAAATTTTTATCTTATTTTATGGCATATAGCATACATTTTAAAAGCAGGAAAGAAGCAGCAGCTAGCAGATTCTTCACTGATATTTTCAGTTCTTACAACAATCCCATGAGGTATTATTTTCCCCTTATTGGAACTGAAGTAATTGAGACTCAGAGCTGGTAAATAGTGTGCTACAGGTTAAAGGTGCAGGTCGCCCAACTGTCTGTCTGGTGTTCGTTTGCTTCCTTTAACCACTACCTCATCTTAGTTTTCCTGGATTTGCACAAATGAGTTTTTTCCTCTCCAGGGAAAATAGTTTGATTTGTTGTTGTTATCTTTCACATTTCATTTTAGAATATCGTCCAGCCTAGTTTTCTCTCTCCCTGTGCAGAAAAGTTTCTAGTTTTACTCGAAGGACACTGCCGTGTTTCCATTGCAGACTTTTCCTGAAACTCAGAACCGAAAGAGAACTAGGCATGTGTTTGGAGAAAGATAGCTTTTCGTGAAGTCTGTTGAGCCCTGGACAGTTGGTAGAATCCGGCAGGGGATGGGGTGGGTGCCAGCCTCTCTTCGGGGCTGTTCAGTGCAGAAATGGGTTTTATTTAAAAACTGTGATACAGGTTATCATAAGTGTGTGTACATTTTCTTGACTTTTTTACTGCAGTCTAACTGATGTAAAAATATATCTTTTAGAATATGAAACACAGAAAGTATGCAAGGTGGAAGGCAACATATATCCATAATTGTTTAAAGAATGGAGAGACTCCTCAAGCAGGGCCTGTTGGAATTGAGGAAGACAATGGTATGTATTTATCTAAGTAAAATGATTTAGCAGAATCACAATTGTTCATTATAGTCTTATTTAAAGTTTTCTAAAAGAACTGTACAATTTCATTCCCTCCATCAGTTCCAAAATTCATATAAAATTGGATATAAAATCATAAATTTTTGGACAAATTCCTCTAATGTCAAACTTTGTCAACAAATGTTTGGCTATCTCCTACCTCTAATAAGATTTCTTTCCTGTGTAGAACAGACAGTCCATTTGTAATTTACAAAATGCTTCCAGCCCTGGCTGGTGTGGCTCAATATACTGAGCACATGCCAACGAATCAAAGGGTCACCAGTTCGATTCCCAGTCAGGGCACATGCCTGGGTTGCTGGCCAGGTCCCTGGTAGGGGATGTGTGAGAGGCAACCACACACTGAAGTTTCTCTCTCTCTCTTTCTCCCTCCCTTCCCTTCTCTAAAAATAAATAAATAAAATCTTTTCAAAAATAAAACCAAAGGACACTATATTATATTTTCTGTATCTATTTGAGCTTTTTTAGGGGATGGGGGTTGATAATGCATGCATATAGTTCAAAATTTATAGAGTGTATAAAAAATAAGTGAATTTCTTATTTCCACCATATTCCTCATATTCCCAGATCCTGCCGTAACCCCAATCACTAAATACTTCTTTTTTAGTTTTTTTGTGTATTTTTACAGAGATGCTTTTTATCAATTTACACGTAAGGAGAAATATATATCCTCCTTTTTCACACAATTGGTAATATACACACTGTTCTGCACTTAGCTTTTTTGTTGTATTACTTTGTTACTTAATATATATGGGAAAAATTTACTGTCTCATAATAAATGGTTTATTTATAAAATAAACTGTTGGTTTTATAAAATTAAATCATAAAAATAAAGGTCTCATTATTTCATTGGCCTTTCAGTTAATGAGTAATGAAAAAGAAAAACAGTTTTCACTTGTTCTCACTGATTAAATGTATAGGAAATGGATTCTTACAATGGAAACAACCACTGTTCTCTGAATTAAGAAAATGTCGTGACTTTTGCATTTATTATATAACTTTTAGGCATCTGTGAAGATGATTATCCAGCGCATGGGTTAGTGAACTCTCTCTGAAAGGGTTAGACTGTAAATTGTTTTAAAGATTTTATTTATTTTTAGACAGAAAGGAAGGGAGGAAGAGAGGGGGAGATACACTGATGTGTGAGGGAAACGTCAGTTGGTTGTGGTTCACAGGGACCCCGACGGGGGACCGAACCCACCACCCTGCCCTGACGGAGTGAACGGGTGAACCAGCAACCTTTCACTTCGAGGGAGGGTGCTCAACCAGCCGACCCGCGTCTGTGCCGGTCAGGGCGGACAGTAAATATTTTAGACTTGCAGGTGATAGGTCTTTGTTGCAGCTGCTTGACTGTACTCTTGTACCGGAGAAGTAGCCGCCACAGACAATATGTAATCAAATGAATGTGTCTGTGTTTTGACAAAACTTTATTTACATAACAGGCAGTCAACCAACTGGCCACAGTTGCCAACTCCAGTCTAAACCATCTCCTTAAGTCTGTTACTATAGTGAATTCTACTAAATGATTGTCTTATATCGAACCAACTTTACATTATGTAATAAACTCCACTTGGTTATGATGTAATTCTTTAAATTATACTGATGGATTTAATCTGCTACTACTATATATCATTTAGGATTTTTGTATTGACATAAGTAAAATTGGCTGCAGTTTACTTTTCGGTATCAGTTTCACACTTCATAAATATAATCTGAAAGTTTCTGGTGTTTTCTGTGCTCTGGAACATTTTAAATACCCTGGGAATTATCTTTTCAGATATTTCCTAGAATTTGTGTGTGTATGTGTGAACCCAGCTGGCCCTGATACTGGGGGTGGCTTGCTGGCACTGTTCTTCTATGGAAATTCGCCCTGTTAGATTTTTAAAAAATTTTCTCAGTCACTGCCCAGTGAGTGAATGCGTACTGATGAAGTGAATGATATTTTAGTTCTTTTAAGGCCTTTTAATAATTTCTGCATAGGTGTGCTCCCCTCAGAATTTTTCAGATTACAGTTGTGTTGTAGTTCTGCATGGAGATATATATTCATTGCAGTATACGTATCCACTTTCAAAATACAACAGCTATAGCTTTGTTGAATGTTTCCATATATTGTTTTAAAATGAATAGATAGCAAATAAGAATATGAAAAAAGATGCTGAAATCTGTAGTATTTAGGGAAAAATACATTAAGAATGTAGCAAGATACTTTACACAGCTTCTGGAATCTAAAATTTAATAAGCTGTTAGTACCAGGTGCTGACAAGATTGCCAAGTGGCTGGAACATTGCTCTTGAGAAAAGAAAAGGAAAACAGGTTGACAGTTTTGTATAAAATTAAAAGTACACATAGCACATGATCTAGCAGTCCCACTCCTAGGCATTTGTCTACCCAGGAGAAATGCAAGCATGTCCATGCAAAGACCTGTACATAAATGTTTATTTATAGCAGCTTTATTTGTAATTGCCAGAAACCGAAAGTGATTCCGATGCCATCGATTTGTGAATGGGTCTACAAATTGTGGAACATCTTTGTAGTGGAATACTACTCAGCAGTCAAAGGGAATGAACTGTTGGTTTTTGCAACAGTGTGGTCTGAGTTTAAAAGCAACATGCTAAGTTAACAACACCAACTACAAAAGGCTGCCTGTGTATGATAGCATTTATGGAACATCCTGGAAAAGACAGTGTTCTAGGAACATTAATCCGATCAATTGGTGTCTGGGGTGAGAAGAAGGGATTTACTAGAAAGGAACATAGGAAAAGGTTTGGGGATGACAGGAACATTCTGCTTGTGGCTGTGGGGTGGTTACACACGGCATCAGTCTGTCAGTAGTGTGTCCCCTAGAAGTGTGCATTTTACTGTATGTCAATTATACCGCAATAAACTTTCCTTTAAAAGACCAAGGGAAAAAGAAAAAGTTGAAAAGTCTTTGTGTTTTATTTATTTATTCAGAGGACTATTTAGAATTTAATAATGCCACTCAGTGAAAAAGGCACCCTGCAGTTTTACATATGACTACTCTGTGTCAGTTATTTTGCAGTCCGTCCTCTAGAGATCAGACTTTAACGCGACATTTCAAGTTAACTTTTTGCTATCTGTTCCTGAGCATACTTCATAATATGTTCCTATCTAATCTCTAAACAGTCTTTTTCACATAGAATGCCTCATATAGTTATCTTCTATAATAAATGCCTTGCATTCATGTAGTGCCTTAAAGTTTATAAATTACTTTCATATATCCCAGGCCATCAAAGGTCCCTAAGAGATAGTTTAAGTCATTCCTGTTTTACAAATGAGGAAACTGAGGTCCCCCATGGGTTTTGAAGTCAGCCTGAGGTCATAGAACCACAATGAGGGAGAACTAGAACTTACAACTTGACCTTCTTATGCCAAATTTTGTTTTTTACATTAATACTACAGCATGGACAATATATTATGTTGTTATAGTTGTTGATTAAGTTGTTTAAAATAGAATCATGTAAAGCATGGTTACATTGCTGGGTTATAAGTAAATTGTCACAACACAATTTCTCATTTTTTCATTTAATTTTTGAGAATGTTTTACATACTTCTTTTCCTACTTTAATACCAACTACAATCAGGAATGTTTTATGTCAGTCCTACTATGGGCACATAAGTGTCCACAAGAAAAGACCCAAGATTCTTAACTTGCTAATAAGCAAGACCCTCCACAATTTGGCACCAACCTTCTTTACCAGTTTTACTTCTTATTCCTGTCTACTGTTGTCTTAGCTGGCTTAGGCTTCCATAACAAAATACCATCACCAGGGTGGTTTAAGGAACAGGCATGTATTTGTTTCCTCCCAGGTCTGGAGTCTGGAAAGTCCGAGATCAAGGGTTGTCAGGGATTGGTTGGTTGTTGGTAAGACAAGCTTCCTGGCTTTCAGGCAGCCGCCTTCTCTCTCGGTTCTTACAAGCTGAGGGAGAGAGGCACAGAGAGATCTTTTTTCTTGTTAGGCCATAGTCCTATCAAATCAGGGCTCTACCCTTATGAGGTCATTTAACCTTGGTTGCCTTTTAAAGATTCTGTCTCCAAATAGTCACATTGGGGATTAAGGATTCATCATACGAATTTTGGGGTGGAGGACACCGTGTACTTCCATAGCAGCTATTTAAACCCTTTATTACAACCACAGAAGAGCCAGAAAGTACCATATTCTCTTTCTTTAGTTAAAACTGTGCCATCCTCCTCAAATGCTCTTCTTTCTTTACCTGTTTCTTGCCTACCTGATGATCTCTCTTCTGAATTTCTGTAGAGCTACTTTGTGTGTGTGTGCGCATGTATGTCTGTAAAGCCTTGTAAAATATATACTAATATAGTGAGTATTTACTTGTTCTGTTTTTGTTTTATTTGAAACTTTATTAGGCACATACACCTTTGTAATTATTTATTTTTTGTTACTTACCGAACCCTATCATTATGAAATATCTTATTGTATCTGTTAATATTTTTTGACATGATGTCCTGGCTGGTGTGGCTTAGTCATGCTGCAGAGCAAAAGGTCACCGGTTCAGTGCCTGGTCAGGGCACCTGCCTAGGTTGTGGGTTTGGTCCCTGAGAGGCAACCAATGGATGTTTCTGTTCCTCTCTTTCTCCCCTCCTTCCCTTCTCTCTAAAAAATAAAAAATTTAAAAGAAAATATTTTGACATGAAATCTGTATTGTCTGTTACTGAAATTAACCTTTCAAGTTTTGTCTGCTTGGTATTTCCATGGTATACCTGTGTTCATCCTTTTAAACATTATATGAGTCTTAAAGCATATAGGCGTCTTTTTTTTTTTCGGTCTGTCAACATCAATCTTCAAAGTACTGTGTAGTCCATTTACACTTAGTGTAGTTATTGCTGTAGCTAGATTCAAGCCTAGTACTTTTTCATTTATTTTTGAAAAAAATAGAGTGCCTTCTTAGAGTTTTCTTTGGTGGGTTTTTCCTTTTCCATTCATTATGACCATATTTTTCTCTATGATATAGTACCTAGTTTTAAGTTATTTTCTGTTCATTTCAATATCTGGGTCATTCGAGGGGTCTTTTTCTGTGGATTTTTTTTCTCATGACTCAGGTCACATTTTTTTCTCCCCTCCCCCCAGATTTCTATTAATTTTTATTGCTGATAAATAAACAATCTTGTAGTTCCTTTGCATTCTTTATTTTTCTCTGTGAAGTCTTGATTCTTGTTACAACAGGCAGTTAACTTGCCTGAACTCAAACACTGCCCCTCTTCTTTCGTCTTTAAGACATTGCTTTTTCAAGCTCCCTGGAATCTTCCCCGAGTGTGCATGCGTAGTTGAGGGCCATACAGGTATTTAGTTGGGGTTCACATACACATTTTCTGCAACACTTCCGTTGTATAGACCGTTGAGTGCCCTCAAGTGAAAAGACACAAAAAAGGAGTTCTCACCTGCTGAGATTTCTTCTCCCAAGGGCCATCTTCTCTAGTCCTCACCAACTTTTTGTTACTCCCCATGCCTTTAATAGTGGGGTTTTTTCCATTCCCAGAATGTATAAAATGTTGAAGTTCTCTAATATAGGAGAAAATTATTGTATTGTATATATGGTATGAATGTATCTACAGGGTTACTTACTTAGTAAAATGAGTATCTCAGAGTAGTAGGTAGATTACTTTTGTTTACTTAAAAGTGTATTGGTCCCAGCTGGTGTGGTTCAGTGCATTGATTGCCAGCCTCCAAACCAAAGGGTCGCTGGTTCAGTTCCCAGTCAGGGCACATGCGTGGGTCTCCCGTCAGGCTGCCCGTGGAGGGGTGCGTGAGTGACAACCACACATTGATATTTCTCTTCTCTCTTTCTCCTCTTCCCTTCTCTCTAAAGATAAATATAATCTTAAAAAATAAATTTTTAAGATTTTTATTTTTTAAAAAAGATCTTTAAAAGATAAAATTATCTATGTTGAACATGTAATGTTGATGATCAGACAAAAATTATTTTAAAATTCAATAGGAAACAAATCTGTTTCAGAAATCTGTAGTTCTAGCTTGCATTTAGTTTATTTTGAAGTGCTAAGATTTCCAAAAGTGACTCATTGTCATTTTTAATAGACTATCAAAAGTTAATTTCCTCAAAGTAGTTTTCAAATTCAGCTAATGATATACAGTATATTTTTAAAGTCTGCATTTTAAAGCAAAGTCTCTTATTACTCCTTTTTATATAGATAGGTTAATGTGAAATTTCATTTCTTTTTGTTGTTGGTTGACTTAATAATTTGGACAACGAACCACAGATATTTAAGAGCTAATTAAAAATAGCTATCAAAAAAGGCAGCTTCAGAAGATAGACTTCTTACAGGGTTGCATAAAATGACATGTTTTGCCAGAAATGTCAATTTTTATAAGTTTAAGGAATGGATTTAAAAGAAATATATATTTTAGGAAAAATTTACTATATGCAAATATTTTATAGAATTGGAATTACAGTGAACAGAAGTGATAATCATATTGTCAGGCATAACTAGGTGTTTAGAAAATACCTAAAACTATTATCTTGAAAGATAGAGCCTGCTTATCAGCAGCATTAAATAGATTGAGTTTTAAAATCTGTCATGCCTGTATAGCAAAATAAGAATATTCAGCACTTTTATTTCAAAATACCTAGTTTAACTTTGCATGTATGTTCTTAATAGATGTTGAAGACAGTGAAGACGTTGGAGCAGCCTCTCTGCCCGCTCAGCCACCTCCGCCGTCATCTGCAGCTTATGACCCCAGCAGCATGCCGCCGAGCGGCTACACCGGAGTCCAGATCCCTCCCGGGGCCCACGCCCCAGCGAACACGCCGGCAGAAGTGCCCCACAGCGCAGGTAGGGGCAGAGCCCAGCGGGTATGGAGCCATTCTTCCAGAAGGGGGAGCTGCACTGCTTGTCCTGTCTGTGCCTCATGAGAAAGCATTTAAGTTCCACTCGCACCCACACAAAAAATACTAAATTCTTTTTATTGAAACTTTAGTATCAGTTGTACAGTGGCACTTCGGTCCTCAAACTTAATTGGTTCCAGAGGGCTGTTTGAGAAGCAGTTTGGTCAAAAGCCAAATCATTTTTTTCCCATTAGAAATACTGTGTTAGCATGAAAGGGTGGTTAGGTTGAGAACCAAATTGTTGGAGATGAGAGACGTTTGAGATCCAAGGTTTGACTGTATTTCAGGTTCATGAGAAATGGTAGACATTTACAGATATTGATTACTATTAACCTCATGTTTTATTAATAAGAATAGCCTCTGTTCTTTTCATGCGTGGTGCTGGTTTCTTGTTCTTCCTCTCCTGTTCTTTCCCCTTCACTGTTGTGCAGGGGCAGCACTGAGGGGAGGGGGCTTTGTTATGGGATGGGTCAGGCAGCGCCTCGCTCTGATAGCAAGATTCGACCTTCCTGCCTCGGTAACGGAGGACGCTGCTCTGCCCTCGTGTTATTGATGAGGGGGGGAGGCACAGACCAGTGAAAGAGGGTTTGTTTTTGTTTTTCTTCTTTAAGATTACAAATATGTGACTAAAAACAGGGGCATGATATCTACCATCTTGGAATAATTCAGGACTGTATGTCTATGTTTTCGTAGAAAAAACATCTGACAAAACTAGTCTCCAGTAGATTGATATCAGTAAAGATGATTTTATAAATTGCAAAGAGATGCTCTTCCATATACTTGTATTGTTAACATAGCATCACCCCTGTTTCCAAATAAAAAGGTATTTAAAACCATCATTTAACTTCTAACTTTTTAAAAACTTTTATTGTTAAAATTTTACCTTCCAGCATAAGGGTAATACACAGTAGTAAACTACACGAACATTTCAAAACATGTAATTGTTAAAATGAGTCATCATTTGAGTCCTGATTTCTAGCATTTCCATTCTGTAACACACTATCACTTCATTGACTTTCAGTTTCAGTTTACCCAAACCTTTTAGGTTATTTTTACATGAGTTAAATGACATTTAAAAGTTTGAGTGAATGAAAAAGTGGTGGTACATTTACACAACTGAATACTACTGAGCCGTAAAAATGAAGGAAATCTCTTTGCGACAGCATGGATAGACCTGGAGAGCATAAGTGAAATAAGCCATAGAAAGACAAGTACCATATGATTTCAGTGGTATGTGGAATCTAATGAACAAAATTAACAAGCAAAACAGAGACAGACTCATAGATGGAAAGCACTGCTGTCAGCTGGAGGGGAGGAGCTGGGAGGGAGTAGAAGGCTTGAGCAAAAAAAAGAAAAAAAATCTCATGGACATGCATGTGCGTGTGGTAGAGGGCATGGGCGGGAGAAATGGTGATGGACAGAGGCTTGGGTGGTGAACGGACAGCACCATGTACAGGTGATGTGCTGTGGAATTGTGCGCCTGAAGCCTGTGTGATTTGGCTAGCCAGTGTCACCCCAATACATTCAATAATAGCAAACTATACAAACATTTACTCAATAAGATGAGTCAACCTTTGAGTCCTGATTTCTGCTGTTTCTATTCTGTCATACCCCATCACTTCATTGACTTTCAGCCTCAGCTTACACAAACCATTTAGCTTATTTTTGCACGAGTAATAGTTTTAACACTGATCTCTGGTGTCGTCCTATATATGGGTGTCATTCTGTGTATTTTACTCTGCCATTTTATTATGTTATTGTCTATGTGATGGCATTAATAAGCAAACCAATTTGAATTAGTTTGTAGGTAAAATTTTATAGAACACAGTTTTAAATATTTTATCTCTTAGAAATTTTGAAAATTTCTGTAGAATGATATAAGCAAAACCACCTACTTATGGGCATTAGTCTTAAAGGACTATTGTTTGAGTTACACTACTAAATTTACACACTAATCAAGAGCTGCACACACAAGTGTCCCTGTAGACCAGTGAAGTGGGAACAAAATGTGTTTTGGAGTCAAATAGTGTGGATATTAGTTTCTGCCCCTTGCTAAACCACAAGCTCAACTTGTCACTCACCTTCTTTTGACCAAGGTTGTTCCTCTTTCTAAAATGAAGTCAGTCATACTTAACTTCTCAAGGTTGTTTTAATTATTAAAAGGGCAAAAGAATGAAAATTGACTGGTACTATGCCTGACACAAAATAGCAAATCAGCAAATTAGCTTCCTTTCCTTTTTTTGCCTTTTCCTTCCTATTTCTGTGCCAAAGAAAGACAGGGTATTTATTAGCAGGTTAATAAACACTTAAAATCATTTTGTGAATCAAGGGAAGTGTCTCATCTGGGGATAGGATATGGCCTTAAAAGATTGCCTAGGGGTATTGCTTCAGACAGTATATCTTAAAGCATAGTAGTGGTACGGCCATATATTCATATTTCATGTGTAGATATCCTTTGTGTACATATGTGAGGGAATGTATACTTCCAGTGAAAGGGTTATGTCAGCTTTTGACCATGTGAAATTGCTCTTTTTGTCCAACAAAAGTGATAGAATATTGGTAGTTTTAGGCATTCAAATTAACAGACAATATCTCCTGCTTGGAAATGCATCACATGCAAATAGGTATTAGGAGATGATCTTTTATTAGGAGATTTTCTGGCATGAACAGTTCATTTTCATCCAGTCATGTTCTGACCTTATTTTTTTTCTCTCTTTTTTTTCCTCAGAGTGGAGCAATAAAACTAAAAACCTGTGACCTTTCTTAGGATAAGGTCCTGTCTTGTTACTTTATACACTCTTACAGACTTAGCATTTAAATAATTATAGCTATTTTATAAATATTCTTACAGAATCTGTATTAGATATTTGTTGTCCTTAATTTACAAACTCAAAAAAGTAAAGCAGTTAGGCAATTATCCCAAGAAAATTAAAATACAAACTTACCTAGTAAATAACAGAACGAGAGTTTGAACCCAGGTCACTCTGATTTCATGGTTTGGGCACACCGCACCTTTTTCGTTCCTTCCTCTAAGGCGCAGGCGGCAGACACAAGGCCCTCAGGCCGAACCTGCCCCTCCACCTTGTTTTACCCCGCCCGGCACCTTGTCTCTCCCCGGCGACAGTGCCGAGCTCCTTGCCCCTGGTTAAGGAGTAGTTACATGTATACAGTCCTGGAGTTACATTCGGCCCTTTGGAGGCAACCACGAAGCTGGTGTGGCCCCCGGTGAAAATGAGTTTGGCACCCCTACTGTAAGGAGTTAATATTCTCACAACGAAACCTACTCTGCTAATATGTATTTCCCTCTAAGATAGAATCTTCTCTTAGCTGGCAAAAATTTTTCCTACTGTATTTAAAACAGTTTTTTAAAAATCAGTTTATAGTTGCCTAATAGAAAATGAAATAAGATTTCTAGTTTATAAATATAGCAGATGTTTCCCCTCTTACTCACTTTAGGAATGATTTACTCTCTCTCATATAAAGGTCCAGGATGCACTTTTATCAAAGGGAAATCCTTAAGATAGCTGAAAAGAATAGCATGTACTAATATACAGTTTCTAGTTCTTCCACAAGAAAGTAATGGGGGTGCAGCGAGAGCAGGATGGCGACTGTTTAAAGCGGCCGTGAGTTTGCTCGTGTGCTTTAACCGCGGCAGAAGCAGATGTGGGTCATACGGTGTACTGGTTTCTTGCTCTTGAAACGCTCACTTTTACAGTTGGTAAATGTAGAGGAAGGTCTCAGTGAATAATCTAAGTAGATTAAATAATAATTTTATAATTAATGCTAGCCTTTTAATTCGAAATGCAGCTCACCTCATATATATATTAAAAACTTTTACTGTTGTTTTTCTAAATGTCAGCAGTACTGCATTTGCATTCTACACAGCTTTCAAACTTGTTTATATTCTGGCCTAATCATTTATATCAATGCTGTTTTCCATGATTACAATGAAGTTTTACTCAAGCAAAATCCTCCTATTTTCTTACCTTTACTTAGAGTGTTCCTAAGAGGTAGCATGTCCTCCTGCCTGTTTCTCTGCCTCTCCAGATGCTCGTACCTTTCAGGGTTCTGTTCAGTTATACTTTCTTTGGGTGGTCTTCTCTAGTTTTCTAACCAATACCTATTTTTCTCAACACCGTTCTGTCAATAGAACAATTTAGTACTTAATTAGAAACCTTGCAGTTGTTAATTCTTAAATGTGTATTATTAATCCCATCTAATAGGACATGTAACCATCTACTTTAAAATTAACCAAAATTACTTTTTAATACTTCTTTTTTGTTAAATAATAGAAAGAAAGACATTGCCAACTCCCCAGGAATCTTTACTCCACCCTATTGCAGTATAGGGGGCTGCAGCCTGTTTGCAAATTGACAGATGAGACCTTTCCAAGTCAGAAGAGAAGGGAAAAAAACTAGATTTGGACATCTCAAAAAATAATGAAAATACACTGAAAACGAGTTTTACAAATCTGTCTGGTCTTCATGCACTTGTGGTAAGCCAGCAGCAGTATGCTGGGCCCCGTGGCCACGTGCTACGATGGGTGCCAAGAGCACAGGCCTTGGCTCGTGTGTCAAGGCAGCCGTGAAGCAGCATCTTTTGCCTGCTGCATGAGGCATGCTGAACAGCCTGTGTTGCTAGCTCAAGTCTTAGTTGAATGACTGCGGCCAGAATTTGTAATTAAGTGCAGACTACCTATTTTGTAAATATTGCTCAAATAAAATTTTACTACATAACTACATTTTTCCCTGTAAATTCTATTCTTGTTAATCAATATCACATGCCTGATCATATGGAGATGTATAAATATATATATTTAAAAATTAGTGCAGAGCCCTGGCAGGTGTGGCTCAGTGGATTGAGTGCCAGCCTGCAAACCAGAGGGTCGGCAGATTCCCAGTCAGGGCACGTGCCTGGGTCGCTGGCCAGGTTCCCAGTAGAGGGCACTTGAGAGACAACCATACCTTGATGTTTCTCTCCCTCTCTTTCTCCCTCCCTTCCCCTCTCTAAAAATAAATAAGTAAAATCTTTTGATAAAAATTAGCGCAGAATGCTGACCATAAAAAGTACATATGCCATCTCCATAAAGAAGGGCGTTTGAAGGATTTTAATTTGGGCAGACACACAAGTTACCTAGCGAGGAATGGCATTGATATCTGGATGGATCTGTGAAAGGGATATAGGACATTCATTTTTATACACGTACATTGGTCTGGACACACACATGCTTATGGGTGCATGGAAAGGGCCCTAGAAACTGGTGATGCCCCTAAAGTGGCTGTGAGTAGGAATAAGAAGTAGGCTGTTCGTGTACATTTTTTTTTACTATTTAAAAATTATACTTGACTCTTTATCTGTATCCCTTTCTACTTTTAATTTTTAAAAAAGATTTTATTTGTTCATTTTTAGAGAGGGGAAGGGAGGGAGAAGGAGGGGGATAGAAACATCAATGTGTGGTTGCCCCCTACTGGGGACCTGGCCCGCAGCCCAGGCCTGCGCCCAGACTGGGAGTTGAATCGTGACCCTTTGGTTCTCAGGTCAGCACTCAATCTACTGAGCCACTCCAGCCAGGGTTAAATTTTTTATTCGTTCAATTTTTAGTTAGAAAGTAATATTTTTATGACTTAATAGTTCTAAAGGTATACAATGGAGCTAATTTGCCCTAAATCGAAACTAAATGAGATAAAATGGTATATACTTCAGCCATTTTGTCTTTTGGGTTGGTAATAAGAAAGTCTTTCAAAGTCACAACTTCAAACCGCAGACTGTAGTTTAGAATGTAAGTCCCCCTTTCTGAAACCATCATGCCAGAACACTCATTGGCCATGTTTTTGTTTTCTTAGAAACTTCCCCGTTTGTTTTCTTCCTACTACTTCCTTCTTTTTATTTCATTATTTTCCCACTTTTACTACACATTGCCTATTTGAATTTAACCTGTTAGTTCAGAGCAAGTGAATCCTGTTTTCTACCTGAATGCATTGATTTAGAGTAATCAACTTTTTTATTCATTTGCTTTCTTGCTAATGAAGAAATCATTTAAGTCTCTGGGAAGTTTTAACAATGTGTGTTAATTTTTTTAATGATCGGTAATCTTCAACTTATATCACTTAGCATTAGTCAGGAGTGCTAACAATTTACTGAATAATACAGTCATAACAAGTTCTATAATAAGTCAAAACTCATTTCTTATTGGATATATAAAAATGCCATCTTAAAAACATGTTAACTGGAAATTTGGAATATATAATTTTTAATTTAATGCAGAGGGTTGAAATGAGACTTATCCTGTAAGGTAAATTAAATCATAATTGTATCCTACCTTGACTCCAAATTATTTAATTGACCAAGAAATTAATAGGTAAGAGAGGAGTCTCATTACTTCTGCAGATACTTGAGCTTTAATTGAGAAGCAAGTTGAAGCTTTAGACATGACAAACAAAATACATAATAGGAAATGTGTAGCCAATACATGTATGTAAACACTCAAAATGTATTTTCCTGCACATTTTCCATACCAGTCTCCAACATCAAATAACTATATTAAATTAGAAACCATTAAGGGTTCAAGGAAGTGAAGTAATACAATTCCTCCGTGATTCTTTAAGTGCTTTCCTACTATATAATTTAAAGAGGTGTAAAATTTTAATACCTGTGTGTGGTTTTCTGATTTGCAGGTGTAACAACAAATACCATCCAGCCTACTCCACAGACTATTCCGGCCATTGATCCTTCACTTTTCAGTACAGTCTCCCAGGGTAAGTCAGCTGTGTGTTGTATGAGAAATAGTGTGTCTTGTGTGGGGTATGGGTTTGTAATTTTACCTTTGCAGTGTCTAGGTAATCTGAAACATTTCTTTGAATGTTTATGTTCGCTATATTCTCCAGTAAACCAAGATAGTTTCATATTGTCAAAATACCTAAATCTAAAAACATTTTTTTCCCATTTGTTTTTCGTATGCAGCTGTGTATATAGTGGCACAAACATGCAGTCACAGATGTCAAGGAAGCCTAGATTACTTCAACATTACCGTGTGTTGTGATTATGATATTCCTCATCTGCACTGGGGGGTTAGATTATCCAAGAAGAGAGGAACTGAGTCTAATTGAAAATAAAAATCTCTGAGGATAATTATTCTAATTGGTTGGGTCAATTATTCTAATTGGTCACCTGGGTCATAGGCCAGGTGACTGGTTTGTTCATGTTAATCTTTCCCACTTTTCCAACTTTTGTGTTATTTTTCACCCAGTCCATTTTGTGTTTATTTTGGTATTACTCAGTTTTCTTCGTATGTCTGAGGGGATACAGTTCCTTTTATTTAGAATGAAACCTTGCTCTGCTATTTTCAGTTGTATCACTGGGTCTGTCCTGCTGCTGTGTCTGCAGGCCTCTTTTCCCATGTGATTTTTCGGTTCCCTGTGTGACGGGAACTGGACATTAAGCTACCTGCCTTTCAGTCACGGAAGGAAGAGAACTTGTTTTGGAAGGGGAATGGGAGGAGGTATCACATCTGCCTAGCTCATATTTTTATGAACATAACATGAGCTGCTTAAATTGTGCTTTTCTAATTTTGTACTAGTTGGCTTACTGGCATGGCAGCAAAAAGATTTATCTGTAGTTGGTCCAGAATTTAATGAAAGTTAGGGAAGATAAGAGGCTGGAAATATGTGCTTGTCTGAAGTGGAGCACAGTGCACTCCCCGCCGAAGGTAATGGTGTCTCTGTGCACCAAGGACTATGTTGGTGACTGTACATTTAAATAGATGCAAAAATATTTTAAAAGATGTGTAAGTTGCTGAAAACAGGGAGGGATTTCCGTGTGCTGTTGGTGGGAGTGTTGATTGTAAAGCTTTTCTCAGGAACATTATGTCATTATCAGAATCGCAAATACAACTTTTTTTGACCCGGCTATTATACTTTTTAGAATCTATCTTTAAAAATACTTAGACGTGGGCATAAAATGTATTTAGACAGATATTTATGTCAACATCTTTCGTAGTGTACCATGCTCTGCGTTTACCTCCCAGACTGACTGCAGGTCAGATGGTTCTCCCGTGCATCCTTGAAGTCACAGGATAATAGAATACATGAGGATCGGATGATCCAAGGCCCTGGACATGAATTTCTAGAGCTACCTAGTTGAGTGGGAAAACATCGCTAAAGACCCATTTTGGAACTGTTTACAATTAAGTGTTATTCCTTGGAAACTTTACCAAGTTTGCTTATGCCAAAAGGATGCTTATGCCAACTGGGCATGCAGGGATTTCTCTTTACGCCAAGTAATGTTACCTTTGATCCGGTGTTGACCAGGGCTCTCCTACCCGTGTAGTAGCCAGCTTGATTGGCAGCTCTGGCTGCCTGCTGTCCCTGCTCTTGTCCTGCCCTGAGAAGGGAGCAGTTAGGTCTGGGACACAGACAGTCTTGTCTGAAGCCATCTGGAACTCAAAAGCACATTTTTCGTAAAAGACATACTGTGTTAAACAATCTCTCTAACCCTTTACACACCTTTTAGGGCCATAATATTATGTGTCTCTGGTTCTGATTATGGGTTCTGGTAAGTTTAATGATAATTAAAAAACAACTTTTATTTTTATGCATTAATTAGTATTTACTCTTCTGAATATGGAATCAGATAAAGTGAAATTGAACTGATATACCTTCCTATGTCTTTTCCACTTTATTTAGTTTTTAAGTGCTAATTAAAAGAAAAATAATTAGGAGGCTTTATTTTTATTTAAAAATTATAATTAAAATGCTGTATTTTAATGACTTATACATTATATTTTTTAAATGAAGGAAAGCCTGAACTGTTATAAAATACTAGAAGTAACTATTTGACATGGCTTAAGTTCTTTATATTTTTGATTGTTGAAAACAAATTACATCTCTAGGTCTATGTAACTTACATTTTTATCTAAATTATTAGTGGGTTGTTATCTAGTTATATTTCAAGTTACACAATTGGTCATACACGTCTGTTATATTTGTTACATACCTGTAATTGTATTCTTGTTAAAATACTTTCACATTTTATAAATACTGAAATATTTTATAAGAGGAGTCAATATTTCTGTTTTAAAACTGTTTTATCATTAGTGGATAAGTTTAGTTTATGAAACTAAAGGAACATGTAAGTGATAGGTCAGCAAAATGCGCTAAAGCTGATGATGGGAAAGTAAGATTGGCCCTGAGCGCGAGGGCTCTCTTGAGCAGGTCTGGCAGGCTCTGCGGGGTGGGGGGGGCAGGTGCCTTATGGGTTTAAATATTGTCCTGAGATAGGAGGGTAGAATACTAAAACACAAATGAGCAGTGTTACAAAAACTGAAATGTTAAAGGTGTCTCAGTGTCTCATATACTACTAGTACCTAGGTAGTAGTATATTTTCTCAGTGGCTAGAGCCTCTTAATACATATTGGAAAAAAACATTAAAAATCTTGTAGGTATTTTGAAGCAAAAAATAAAAACTGAAGTAGGCCTGACTAACTTGTCCACAGAACTGCAGGGTAATTTTTTAGATTTAATGGGCAACAAAATAGATTATCAGTTCTTTATAGTCCATGCCCCTGGCTTTCCGATCAGTTCTCCTAGAATCCTCATAAGAATTTTAAGGAAAATGGTATTTCAGAAAACAAAATACAAAGTAAGCATTTAATTTCATCATTAGAATCATGTATTGAAGTATGTTCAAATCTTAGATTCTGTGAAACGGTTGTAGTGTGATTTGCCTACCCAGATGATTTAGTTGGGCTCTGCACGCATCAGGCACGTGTGTAAGTGGAAAACTTGTGGAGAAAATTCTGGAGAAATAATTTATAAAGATGATTTATTGTCTAATTGTGTAGTTTACTAATATAAAAATTCTGTTAAACCTTTGAGTTTTTTACATGGGTGGCACAAAAATGTAAAATCTTTTTATGTTTAAAAAAGTTAAGCCTGGCTGGTGTAGCTCAGTGGATTGAGCGCGGGCTGTGAACCAAAGTGTCCCAGGTTCGATTCCCAGCCAGGGTACATTCCTGGGTTTCAGGCCATAACCCCCAGCAACCGCACATTGATGTTTCTCTCTCTCTCTCTATCTCCCTCTCTTCCCTCTCTAAAAATAAATAAATAAAATTTTTTTTAAAAAAGTTAAACAATTTATGTAATATTTTCACATAAAGTTTTTTTTTAATTGAGGGTTATATTTCCAGTTCAAATAAGGGTTGAGTGATTGAGTCTGTGGGTATTGTTCTATGAAAAACCAGGCAGAGCGATGCTAGCATAAATGCCAAAGCTGCTGTCCTTGTCCTCCAGAGCATAAGTTTTTGTAATTAATTTGCCAAAATATAAAGGCTTCTAGTTTATTACTTCTGAAAGAGAAATCTTGCTCATAGAAGTTACTATGTATTGAGATATGTATTTTCATGTTAGAGGTTGGAGAGGGGGCTTTAAGATTATTTATTTTTAGAGAGAGGGCAAAAAAAACAATGTTTGGTTGCCTCTCACGCCCCCTACTGGGGACCTAGCCCTCACCCAGGCGTGTGCCCAGACTGGGAATCAAACTTGTGACTCTTTGGTTCTCAGGCTGGCACTCAAACCACTGAGCTACATGAGCCAAGTATATGGTTTATATTAGTAAAAAAAAAAAAAAAAAAGTTGATAGCATGAGAAAATTTATTTAAATACAACTGGAATTATAACAATCCTTTATGTTGTTACATAACCTCTAATACTTCCTGTAACCTTGAATTTAAACGTTTACGCAATCTAAACAGAACACTTTATATTGTTATTAATATCTCAATTATTCTTTCTCTTCCAGGGGATATCCGTCTTACACCAGAGGACTTTGCTAGAGCTCAGAAATACTGCAAATATGCTGGCAGCGCTTTGCAGTATGAAGACGTCAGCACTGCTGTGCAGAATCTACAGAAAGCCCTCAAGTTACTGACTACGGGCAGAGAATAAAGCCTTCGTGCAGCAGATCCACGCGTTTGGCCTAAAGAACTAACGTCCATTACTCTGTACCTTCAGCCTTCCAGGAGCACAGGCACAGTCTTAAGGGAGACTTCAGTTCCATTGACTGCAACAGTGAAATCTGTGTCTACGTCTCAGATTCCTGTGAAGCATTCATCAGCAGCCTCAGCCAGTCTCATTGCCCTCTCAGTGGATCCAGCAGTCTCTGGGTGTACAGGGCTGATGTTAGTGAGACCCTGAAAATGCCCATTGAACCCTGCTTGAGAAAATGGAAATACAGTTCTGTAGACTGTATTAGGAATGAACTTTGTGTCTTAATTTACATAAATTAAGGAATATTTTAATCTATAATTTGGACAGACAGATTACTTTGCTATAAAATTCTAAATTTAACTTTTAATAAAGGTTGTCAGAATATTCTAGATGAGACATGTTTTTTGTTTTCCTCACAAATTATAAAACAAGTATGAACATCCTAAACTGTTAGATGAATCTGAAAGAGATTATGTTCAAAATTCAATTTATATTCATGTTAAATATTACTACATTAAAAAGTTTAAATTTTTATGGAAAGAAGTAAGGTAAAGAGGTAGAATCACTTTTAGACTTAAGAATAATGTCAGTTTCCCACCTGCTTTCCCTTACCCATTGAAGCTTAAGATGGACTGGTGTTTGCTCCCTAGGCAGTTTGACTGCATGTTAGAGAATGAGAAAACACTTTAGTAATTAATGCCTGGAAACTTGGTGCTTTAAGTTAAGATTCTCCTCTGCTGCTATGGAATGGAATCTCTAGAGTGTATAGCTATGAAGGATGCAGAAGACTAAGAAATTAGATTCTCAGTTGTCACATTTATAAGTTTTGTTACCTGCATTTGTGCTGTATAAAAAAATAAATGCAAGGATTCTTTTGACTAGTTCAGCTTACTACAGAGCCAAATGTCTGTTTTGATTTGCATGCTCGAATTGTCATATTTTTAAGTCATTACTTTTAGTTACAGGAATATAATATTTCTGTAGTAAGACACAATTATCATTATGAGAGAGATAAATTTGGCAAATTGACCTGTAATTTATCTGGTTCATTTCATTTATTCCACAAAGATCGAAGTACTTTAACCTATGGGTCAGCAAACTACGGTCCATGGACTGGCCATCTGTTGTGTAAATAAAGTTCTGTTGCCTCAAAACTATACTCATTCATTCGTTTTATCTGTGGCTGCTTTCCACCACTGCCTACAAGCCTAAAATATTTACTATTTGGCCTTTAAAAAAATTTTGATGACCACTGATTTCATAGCCTATCTGAAAGAAAATGAATTATTAATTCATAATCATTTGTCAGTTTTTCTTTGCATATGTGAAATGCTGTTGTGTAGGTTTGATAGAGTATGCAGACAGAATAAACTTGTAAATTATTGCAAAAACAAGCCCCAAATAACATACCTCCTAAAAATGTTCATGTCTGTCACAACGGAACTCCGGCAGCATCTGTAGAAAGCCAGCTCTCTGACCCACTTCTTTATAACTTCGCTGCCATAGAAAAATGGCTGGAATGATCATTCATGTTGTAAGAGGGCAAAATTTCAATACAAATCTTAACCTGCTGCACACCGGAAGGAAAACGGTCACCTCTTATTTGACACTCAGTCTGTTGCTCGAATTGGGAGAGCACAGAGAAGGAAGAAGACCGGCTGGGAGCCCTGGAGGCCCTGGTGCGCAGGCCCTGGTTGGTGCACCAGCCCTCACCTGGAGACTGGCGGCAGTGCCCCTGGCCACCTCGGTTTGTTGTAAGAGCTGAAGTGGTCAGCACATAGCAGCATTCCATAGAGGCTTATTGTTAACATTGACGTTATATTAATACTATAAATTGTTAATAATCATTTATTTCCTGAACATCAGGAAATCCCAGTTATTACTGGGGCCTATTGCTTAAAAATCCTCTCTTGCTTGAGGGATTAACTGGAAAGATATTTTTAACTTCATATTTCTTCATATTAAATCGACAAGAGGAAGTTAGAACTTTACTGATGTAACATGATAACAATTTTCATTGAGCCGTTCAACCTGTATTTATTGAGCAGCTACTTTGTTCCTGACCGTGTCCTGTGCTTGAAGAAACTGTAGAAAACGGGAAAAAAAAAAAAACTCTTGATTCGTAGACTTTGTATTCAAATGAGAAGAAAGAGACAAATTTAATAGAAACTGTATCATGTTTTCAAAGGGTAATTGTTAGAATTGAAAATCTCAGGCCCTACCTCTCCCCAGTCCTACCCAATCTGAAACTAAGGGTGGGGCCTAGCTTTCTAAGTTTTAAGAAACACTTTCGGTAGTCTGGTGGTCCCTCGAGTTGAGTTGTTGAGCACTACCCACATCAGAAGCATCCAGACAGGGATAAGACAGATTCCCTTGAAGCAGTGGTTCTCAAAGTGCGGTCCCTGGACCCCCGGCATCAGCATCACCTAGGAACTTGCTAGAAAGTTCTGGGGACCCCACTTTAGGAACCTCCCTATTAGTGACAAGTGCTATGGAGAAAACCAAAATATAGCATAGGAAATGCTTGGCTATGTGTAGGTAAGTGCATACATAGGATAGGCCTCACTGAAGGGCATTTGAGCAAAGAAGGAAAGGGAGGTAGAGAGGAGGTCAGAGGAAATAAGTGAGGAAGTCTCGTGAAGTTGCTAGCTGGCTTAGAACTTGCTAGGCTTTTTGTAAGAAACGATTTTTACTCTGAGATGGGGAGCTACTAAAAGGTTTTGAACGAGAGTACCTGATGCAAACTAATTTTTAAAAGGATCATATTAGCTACTGTGGGAGACCAATTAAAAGAGTACTGCAGCCCTGACTGGTGTAGCTGTTGGATTGAGCATGGGCCTGCAAAGCAAAGGATCGCTAGTTTGGTTCCCAATCAGTGCAAATGCCTGGGTTGTGGGCCAGGTCCCCAATAGGGGGTGCATGAGAGACAACCACACTTTGGTGTTTCCATTTCTCCCTCCCTTCCCCTCTGTCTAAAAATAAATAAAATCTTTAAAACTATACAAATAAAAAGCCTTGCAATAATCACGGTGAGATATTTTGGTGGATTAGATCAGGGGTAGCAGTGGAGGGAATAAGATGTCATTGGTTTCTGGCTACTTGTTAAAAGTACACTCAGTATTTCTGACCAACTGAATCTGAGGTTTGAGCATTGAAGGCATGAAGGTCAACGCCCATGTTTTAACCCGAACACGAAGGAAAGACTAGCCATTAGAAAAGTTGCTGAATTCTGCTCACATTTAAGCTGAAGTACAATATTCCCAAGTTCTTGTGACCATTGCAAGTAAAACTATTTGATAACATTGTTCTGTGAACGTACACAGGGGGAAGAAAAAATAAAGATAAGTTCTATCTGCAGTGTTTGTCAGACATCTCACCAAATCACTGATGAACTGGGGCTCGGGAGTCAGCGACCGTTCCCAGGGTCAGCATGGTCAGGGGAGTTTGCAGGCTTGAAGATCACACCAAAAGACCCCAGCTACATACAGTTCTTGAAAATTAACATCCTCGAGTGCTCATGGAATTGATGTACATGTGACGTGTTTCTAGAAATTCAAGGTTACTATGTTATGTGTTAAGGTTATGTGCTGTTCTTTCTAAAGAAATTTACACTCAAAGAGCAGCATTGTCACAAACATCTTCAAGTCTGAACAATAACCGAGCAGGGGTTGAGGGTTTTGCTTATCGGAACAGCTTCCTCTGTCTGCCCATCCTCCCCAACCCGGCCCCTTTTTAACTCGACTCACATTATGTACCAAAGCTACTGGATCAGATCATCTAGTCTGGACCATAAAACCACCAGTAGAAAAGTTCTGCTCTTAAAAAAGACCACAAAATATTAAGACACCCTCATGGAGGCATGCTTACCTGGTTGGTTGTAATCTTTGAGTCTGCATGGAATTTTTGAGACTGAAAGCCCGTTCATTGGAGTACAGGTAAGTAGGAGTAATTCCAAGGAAGCAATACTTCAGTAATAGCAAACAATAGCTAACATCTGACTGCTTACTAAATACCAGTGACTCGTGTAAGTATTTTACATGTGTTCATTTAATCCTGCCAATATTCCTGAGAGGTGGGCCCCTAGCATTTCTGTTTTACAGATGAGGAAACAGCAATAGGGTAATAAATTTGCCTGAGGCTGCCCAGATAATATTGAAAGTTTCTAAGCCCAGACTTCCTCTTTCAGTTACAAAGTGTCACCCGTGTAAGTAAATAATCAGTTAATAAGAGGTGTAACAGCTGCATTTTCCTATTCCCTGGACACTGTGTTCCACTAACTGGGTGCTAGGCAGTGAACACAGGACATGAGCACATGCTGGTGCCCATGACCTGGACAGCGAATGGACTACAGGTCCAGGGAGAAAACGGGATTTGAATGGCTGGTACAAGGGACTCGTATGTCGTCTTGGGGAAGGTGCACCACAGCGCTAGGGAGTCCTGAGTTTCCCAGACAAGCATGTTTCTATCCTTTTTATTCTAAGTAACATTTCTATTTTTATTTTAATCATACAACATTTATTTTAAACATTTTTATTTTAAAAATGCACTAGTCTTTACTTTCGAGAAAGTGAATTAGGATGTAGACTTCAATACAAGTAAAACAATAATGTTTATAATTAGTTATTTCCTCAATTAAAATGTGACTAATAGCCCTGGCTGGCGTAGCTCAGTGGATTGAGCGTGGGCTGGGAACCAAAGTGTCCCAGGTTCGATTCCCAGCGGGGTACAGTCCTGGGTTGCAGGCCAGAACCCCCAGCAACTGCACATTGATGTTTCTCTCTCTCTCTCTCTCTCTCTCCCCTTCCCTTCCCTCTCTAAAATAAATAAATAAAATCTTAAAAAAAATGTGACTAATATACTGGACCCTTAACAATGGTCCTTATGACAATGGAATAAAACCAATTTTTTTTTCCTTTTTTTTGGAGTGGGTCCGTTTTTCCTTTCTCTCTCTCTCTTCTTTCTCTCTCCCGCCCCCCACCTCTCTGTCTGTCTGAGTTGAAACTGGAAAAGGCAGTGTTCATGCTGCCTTTCACCACCAGAACCAATAGAGACAAGGATTAAATCTTTATGGGCACTTTATTCAGATGCCAATGATCTGAGGAGGCAGCAGGTTACATACCTTCAAAAACCATCTTATTATCTCATCTCATCTCAACCTGACCTTTATTACAGGAAGGACAGGGTAGGTAAGGTATTTGGGAAAAGGTTGACCAGATAAGATTTGCAGTCCTGTGGCCATTTTCCTAGTATGTCTTTATCTGCTGATCAAATTCTTCATCACAGTCCTGCCTCCCCTCCCCGGAACTCCACGTCTCAGACACTATGTCATTGCCCGCAGACCCCCTGGGGCACGAAGGTTGACTGGCCGGTCCAGCTCCTGCAGTCCGGTGGATCGTGCTTTCCAGTTCCTGGAATAACAGCTTTCCACGCGCATCCATCACGGAAGCCTATCAGCTGTGACTGAGGCTAGAGTCTGTAAACTCGTGAGTTCCCATGTCAGAGTGACTTCTGTATATGGGGTGATTTGAAAATAATCTATGGACTCTGTTTTTTCCATGAATGGAGATTTTATTTCTACATGTGTGAAGACTGCAAACATATCTGCCTTTTGTGGTGCTAAATTTAAAAGGAAACATGTTTAGTTATTTACAAATGAGTAGATATATTTACTGATTATATATACTTATTCTCTTTTCAGTACACTTGAAATACTGATTATTAACATTTCATGATGTTCTAAATATTCCCAAAATGAATTAGTCTGACAGGTTTTGCTATATGTGACTTAGAGTAACTTTTTTCCAAGCTGCTTGATTGGTAGGTTAATTCATTATTTATTGGTACCATTTATTTTTAAAACCCCAGTATCGCAGTAGAGTAACAGAGAATCATGTAAAATATGTGTGTGTATATATACACACATATGTATGTATTTGTGTCACACGTGGGCACAGGTAACTAGGTTCTTGGTGATTGGGACAAAGAATTGAACTGAACACCCAGAATTTATAGCAGAGAACATGGGAGCAGGCCAACTCTAAGCAGAGATTGACCTTATGGGCTGGAGGATTCTATTCTTATAGGATGAATCCTTCCTGGCTAGTTTTGGTGGGCTTTTACTGTGCATGTAAAAGTAGTTGTATTATTTTAAAGCTACTG